ACAGCCCTCTATATAAAGGCTGGCTGTTAGAGGGACTGGCTGCTGGATTGTAAATAGTTGCTGAATAAAGAGCTGTTGTTTGAAGCCTGTCTCCAGTCTCTTCAATCCACCTATCTAACAGACAGGGTCTTATTTTTGGAGAAAGACGGGACCATTTTTTTCTTAATGTGGGGTCATCGTCATTTCTTTATCAGTTAGATATTTTTGTTGTTTCCAAGAGCTAGCACTTTAGGAGGGAAATAATGAAATCTTCCTTCTTTAATTAATGATGTAAATTCCAAAGGCAAGTTGCTTAGTGTTTCAAACCTTCATTGTGAGCAATCAGAGTTTGGTAAGATTACATGAAGTGAGAATTACAGGTCAGCAAGTTCATAGCCATGGAAATATCTTGGTTCCCTTGTGAATATAATAAAGCCATTGTAAACACTGAAATAAATAGATGATAAACACCCGTTTGACTTAGATGATTTCTTAGTGTTTTCAGCCAAACTCATTTTTAGAGTTGTGCAAATACTTAAAAATAGAGATCCAGAAATATCTAGCTTCTAAGTCACTATTACCATTAGGAAATAAACAATACATTCAGTTACTCCTGCAGCATATACATGACTCCAGTTGTTTGAATTTTGTTTTTCCATTTTCACACTGTTTTTCACTTGAAAAAGCTTACAAAATGACTAATAATTGTCTGAGCTTTCTATTATTGTAATAGCAATAATAAGCGCTAAGAGCAAGAACTTTTGTAAAATTTCTTTTTTAAAAAAATAAGCAGTCCTCCTTGTTTACCTTGTTGCAGTTGCTGTTAGAAAATACTGAGGAATACATGATTGTCATAGTACAGATTTCTAATTCTCTGCTAACCCTACCCCCTCAATATTTCCTTGCCAGAAAATGGTGGATTGGTATCGTCAATCTGAGTGTGGGTAGCTCAGTTAAGTTTGTCCAATATTTTTGCAGGCTGCACTGGAAGTTTGGTTTTCCTTTCATTCCCATGACAATTATCAGCACATATTGGCAATGATTTTCTTAACTGTACTGTATGTAAATCTGTGAAACACTGCTTTGTTTTTGTATGGCCACCAATTCGGCATAACCAATGACTTTGTGGTTGAATCAATCATTTACTCTTACTGACAAACTAATCAAATTAGCTAGGCATGGAAATGTTTTTTCTTCTTGTTCAGGTCCTCAGTCCCTGGGAATTAATGCATTAGGTGCAGCATACTATTGGTGGCACTTCCAAAGCCAAAGTAGTGGGTTTTCTCATCTTTCTTATCTTTCTGTCTCTCTTTCTCCACTACTAATTGGCTGGGAAGCATATACAAGATACTCCTCATTTAGCAACAACAATTGGGACTGGAAACTTGTTTGTTAAGCAAAGCAAATGCTAAGTAAATCTACAATTCTGCTTACAATCTTACTCTAGCTTTCCTTTGTTCAAGGAAAGTTAGGCCTGTGAAGGTCATAAATGTGAGCTTTTCGCCACAAAATTATTTTTTATCACTTGTTATTAATAACCGTGAAAGGTGTCTTCAGGAGACAGTCGCTAAACAAGGACTGTTTACATACTATAAACAAGTATGTAATTCCTTTAGAAGGTTTGAATATATGATTTTCATCCTGTACAGATTTTTGCCCATTTTATCTTCCCACTTTTCAGTTTCCTGTAACTCTGCCCAACAGCATGAGTAAACTAGACTCATAAAACGAAGCCAATTCTAGTATAGATAGTACAATTTAAACAATAAAGTACATTCCTTCAGAAATGAAATAGGTAGCATGCATTCATTTTAAAAAAAATAAGGATAGATAACAGATTGCCCTCCAGATGTTCTGGGATATAACTCCCATTATAACTGACATTTGGCCAATTTAGCTAGGGCTGATGGTTATTAAATAAAAAAATGACAATGATTTTAAATTTAGTAAAAATTAATATTCACATTTGAGTATTGACAATTCCAGGTTTTATCTGTGATTATCAGAAATGTAAAAGTTCAGAAAATATTAAGAATAATGTAATCTGATGGTCAGGATTAATTTATCCATGTGCTAAAATGTGGAAAATATGTATCTATTTCTAACAATTCACAAATATCTCTGTGATTGTTGTTTGCAACGTTATTTTCTGCAATGCTTCTGAAGTTAATAGCCCTTATGTGTGCCATCCTGAACTCCAGAAAAAAAATAGTTCTTAATAATAAATTACTAAGTAATAACTTAAAACATAACCAGCTACATTAATGAAAGTGCAGGGCTTATAAGAAGGATATTGTATGTATATAGCTAAAATGATTGAAAAAATGCAAGCAAGTCTATAAAAGAATGATAATCCATTCAGAACCTAGCCAGGTCGAAGTCCAGAGCTAAATCTGATATTAGCAGTTTATGCTAAAAAATCCTCAAATGTTAACTGAATTAAAGTAGTTTGCCATAGAAGAATAAACCAAAACTGATGCAGTATAAAAGATTTATCACTAATTTCACAAATATTTTATTTCAGTTATTATAGCTAATGGTGGTACAGCTAGTTACGGAATCTAACTAGGGAGATTAGTTTTTCACACGGGTTACTTTCTTTTTGAAATAAAGACAAGAAGTACCAAAACTTCAGGCAGACTTTCTATATTAGTAGAACTCACCTGAGCCTCTGGTGGAAAAGTGGCAAAGACATGCAAACATTCATAAAATCCAAAACAGATGAATACATTTTCCTAGAACCATATGTTTTATCACTAAGAAATGCTAGGGATACTTTTTAAAAAAATATAGGAAAAGGAACTGTAGTCTGCACCTGTGTCAGGGTCTAAGCTCAAATATAAACAATAGAGGAGAACTTCTGAATGTAAACTGCATGTTTTCAAAGAAAACTAGTGGCTATTTAAAAAAGAATCCCACTTTGGGTTTCTGCAATCCAACAACATATGTGATGTATACTTTTTTTTTTCTGCAGAACCACAGAAAGATGGGTAGACACAACTTTAGGATTCATTTATAGGCATCAAATATAAAAAAGGACAGCAGCAAATTGGAATGAGTTTAGAGGAGGGTTACCAAAGTAGACTGTAGGGGTCTGAAAATCGATTTCTGTTATGAATGGTTTAATGGGTATGTATAACTAAGGAGAGATATGATGGCAGTTTTCAAATATTATTTATCACATAGCGTAGTAGTAGTAGCAGAGGTGGGCTGCTGCCAGTTCGGACCAGTTCAGGCGAACCGATAGTTGTGACCTGCGGGTGGGGGTCACAACTACCGGTCCTATACCCATCCTATATCACCGTGTTTTTTAAGGCCGTATGCATGCGCAGAAGGCATGCAAGCAAAGCGAATGTGCACGTGCGTGCGCTCATATTTTCGGTACTGGGCGAACTGGTTGTTACAACCAGCAGCAGCCCATCACTGAATAGTAGTAGTAGTAGTAGTAGTAGTAGTATAGTAGTAGTAGTACCTAGAATGTAGAATGAATGGCAGGACAGTGTTCCTGATAGTAGAAATTCTTAGCCTGTGGAACAAGCTGCCACATAAAGTGGCAAATTTTCCTCCCCTGCACAAATCATGAAATAGAAGGCAAATAGTCATCTATTAGACCACCTCTGGTAGACCCTATATTTGACAAAGCATTGGATTAGATAACCTTAAAAGTCCCTTCCAAGTCTGTGATTTTCTGACATGTGAGTAATAAAGCACTAGAATTTGATCTCATTGAAGGTTCACAGATAGGATTCAAATTAATTCTTGAATAGTCTGACTCTTGATTCCAGTGGATAACTGAGCATCAGGTTCATTTTCGACTTCAAATTTGGCTGGATTTTTATCTACAGAATTCCTATGACTGTTCTCACCTGATGTCCTTCCAAAGGGATTAAGGATTTTTGACATGAAAAGTATGTTGAACAATTCAAGTTTAAGATATCTAGGATAAAGACATCAGAAGTAGTCTGATTCCCTATGAAAAGAAGAGCTTAGAGTAGGAGGCATAACAGTAGAGTGAGACCTCTTCTTCTGTCATTGAGAAAGTATGTTTTAAATACTCCCCAAAATGTTGGAGTCTCCCATTTATATAAAGAATAAAAACTAAACTTACAAAAATCTAATTCCAAATGTCAGCTTTGGCCTTTGAAAATAATGTATATTTTAGCATTTTCAGATTTGATATGAAGTGGGAATTGTCAGATTACTTGTTTTTCTTTTTGTTTTAACACAATGTTGGTTTTGTTCCTCCCAAAATAACGTTGGATGTGATCTCTTCCAAATGATCTTATAAAAAAAAACCTCTCTCCCAAATGCTACCAAATCGAAGCTGTTCCTTCTAATTCTACTCTGAAGTGTATATCCACTACAATTGGATTGTGTATACTTTTTCACAGACATAATCTAATGTCCATAAATCCACATAACCTTCTGGATGATCCTGATCCTGATTTCTATAGGCCATCATCTGCTTAATCTCCCATCAAATATATTAGGGTGTAACCCACTGCTCTTCTATTCTCAAACTTCTATCCTGTTTACATCACTCTTCAAGTTCTACAAATGGAAATATGTAACTCTAGAGAGTGAAACTGCTGCCCTTTTCGTCAAATGTCTTTAATAATCGTACAGGTATTTTTATCTATTAGACACACACACACACACACACACAAAATAAGATTCATATCTAGAGTCAAGTTCATGGGACAGTCAAAGAATATTGAGTACAGCTTCAGAAACCTAAAAACAATAGTTTTGTATTCTGTGTGTAACTGTAATATTCCTTTTTTTCCTTTCAGAATTTTAGTAATAATTGTGCTTTTGATTTGCATAGAGTCTGAGATTAAGGACAGCTTTCCAAATATTTATATCTTAAGCTACTTATACATATAATCTGTATTCTATTTATTTCTTGCCCTAGTGAAAGTGAGAGAGACAGAGAAAGAGAAAGAGAGACAGAGAGAGGTAGTAAGTCTTCATTGCTTTTCAATGAATCTACCACAGCTTTTTATTTTTGTCTTGTCCAGATACCTGAAAGGTGTGTCTAAAAATGCAGCTTCTCCTGTATTATTGGAACTGGCCAATGAGGTAATAATTTTTAAAAAGTCTTTTTCTTAAAATGTAAGATCTTATCTGTAGTGGTTTTTAAGAAGTATTCTTAAATATATATGTAGTTTTAGGGCACATCATATATTTAAAATGTTGATCTGCTTGTAATAGGAGCGCAAACAAATATATTAATTAATCAATTAAGGTAACCAACATATTACCTTATGAATATATTTGTGTAATTTATGGAGAGAGAGAGAGAGAGAGAGAGAGAGAGAGAGAGAGAGATTCTGAGGAACTGGTTTAATTGCTTTGTTTTTAGAGAAATATCCATAATATACACTATGGTTTTACAATAAAATGAATTTCCTTTATTTTCTATTTTTTCAAATCTTTTTAATATGGGATTTAATGGGAAAATGGGTTTAATATTAATGAAACTGTTCCTCCTGAACATCAAAGTTTAAAGAAGTGTAGTGTGAGTTTTAATTGTTTATATTGTTGTTATCCACATTTAATAGAAGAAAACTCCTGCATTTTTGGGATGAAATATTCATGTCAATGTAAATTATATGTAGATACTAAAAAATAGAAGCTTAGTTTAAGTGCAACATGGCTTCCTGAAATATTAGCCAGGTCACCAATGGACTTACTGAGACAAACCAATGTTTGCGTAAACCAACCAGAATGACGACTGCTTTAACATGCTATATAATACATTGGAGAAGATTATTTGCTACGGTAGGCACAGAAAGTTTATAAACTTTCTATATGATTTCCCAAGAGGAGTCCTATCTTTTAAAACTTGTAACATGGTTATATATTGTAACAGTATCATATTATTTGATTTTAATATTACAATATGTTTGCAAATAGTTTTGTAAAATTATAATAAATGCACTGGATTTATTTCTTCTAAGTGCTAAAATCTTTAGTAACCCCGCCCCCCCAAAAGAGATAAATGGAACTGTACAGCAAGCTCTACTCTTACATTAGGAAGTATGGTTTACAATTGAGTAATTATCTACCAGATACTGAATGGTTTTAATGGTCTTTAAAATTTCTACATATTGTAACACTACCAAACGTAAAAGATTGTTTGTTCTGATACCAAAGGGATAGTTCTTGTAACTTCTGACATATTGTAGTGTTATACTATTCTCTTTATTTTGGACAAAAGAATATTATTAAATCAAATACAATACATAGATATTGTTATAAATAAGCACCTTGTCCTAGATAGGCACATAAACATATAATGTGTCTTGCTTGCATCAGCGCCCCCTCCCCCTTCAATCTCCATTTTTAACAGATAATTCTGGTACATAAAGCATTCTATTATTCAAATACTATGTTAGAACATCTTAGCAATTCATATACCTAGGGCTTCTTAAGTTGTAAATGTAGAAATAAATAAAATTATTTAAATTTTTTAAGTTTAAAGCTTAAAATTAAACAGTTGAAATAACTGTTTAATAGTACATGCAGATATATAGGAAATGTATATTTTTGTAATCAATTTTAGCATATTAGGGAAATATGGGGATATCAAACATGTGATGTCTATTTCTACACAATCAAGTTGCCATTTTATGTGGTAGTTAATATTTAAATGACAAATTTCTCCATCTGCTGATCAACAATATAATGGTAACACTTTGAGTCAATAAGTGATTGCTGTAAAAATTGATCAGAAACATATAACATGCATTACAGTATATAATATGCTAAATCAGAATAGTGCCTTGTATTTTTATGAGATGCTGAAGCTTTTAAAAAGATTAAATATGACCATTGTATAATTTAAATTAAAGGTTTTTTTAAATGAAAGCAACTCATATATGTATTAAAAATAAAATTAGCCATTCTCACCAAATATTTTCTAGTGAGATTTGAAACACTATGAATATTACTTACATGTTACATTCTGACATAAAGTATGATGGCCCTATTTCAGACAAATTCATGATTAATATGAAAATTAGGAAGATGCAAGTACCTGAACTAATAAGGTAGTCCTTATTCTGGCTGGTCTACCTTCAGTAATTTCACCATTTTTCATGTGTCAGCTCTGATGTGAGCTACCAGAAATAAGCAATTCTTTGTAAAAAAACATTTCTTTCTATTAGGAGGAAATTCAGTGCATCAAAGTACATATACATTTAGGGAAAAAAGCATGTAGTGATCAAAATAAGTTTTGTTTTCCCAAATATATGAATTTTGAATATATTTCAAAACATATAAAATGAAAAATGTTATCATTTGCAGTTATTTTCCTTCAAAGTCTGGCATCTGCTCAAGAGTATATTTCACACTGTTTAATAAATGTAAGCCTTAACAATGAAGTAGTAGATATTTTTAAATAGATGTTCATTTCCTAAGTATATTTGAGAAATCCATGTTTCTCTATATTCATTTTTTTTCATAACCTTTAGGTTATACTATACAAAGTGATTGATCTAGATATAACAGTACTATATATCTGGATTTTTATCATTACTAATTTAAAAAATAAAATCTTTTCAAAAATCCCTTAGAGTTTTCCAAACAAATAAGAATGTAGACATTCTTGATGCGTTCAACTTTGCACAAAATTTGTCTGCATAAATCACAATAATTTCAGTGGGTTGTAATACAGTGTACAATGTAGTAACCTTTAAATTTATAATAGCTATATTGGAAAAATAAATTAAAATGTCTTTGTTATTTGAGACATTATTTTGTTATTGAAGAATTCTCACTGGAGTAAACATGTAATGATGTCCATCTAGAGGAGACCAAATTGGAGGATGTAGTATTGTAATAATATTGCAGTACCAAATTCTGGTCCGCAACCTATATAAAAGTGCTAAGAAATAAAAATACAATCTCTCTTCTTCCCCACAATGAGAGATAGAGAGCATCAGCCAAGAAGGAGCACTGAGCAATCTCAACCACAAAGTAATTTAGCTGAGCTTGAAAACATGCATGGGCAGAAGGAACAGAGTATGCCAAAGGAGTCAGCTAAGTGACACTGAATTAATGAAGTCATACTGCAACCTTTTGTTTCAGGTCTCACTTCTACTGTGTAAATGCTAAACATGTTATTTAATCTTGTCCATGATCATTTCAAACAATGTAATAAACACAAATCAGTAAAATGAACTATTATGTCTAATGTTTTAAAATTGAAATCCAAGTCCATACATTGCAACACAAATACGATTGCATGTAACATTGTATGTTGTGGTCAAAAAGATTTATTTATCAGATTATAGCATAATTCTTATCATGTCAGAGAAATGTACCGTTTGGAAAGGATGACTGAGATAATGGAGGATGCCTCCTTGACACCTCTTTATTGATCTGAGTGATGAAATAAAACCACATTTTAATGAAAGTTGGTTACAGTTTATCTTTCTTCTAAGGTGGATTTTGCCCCATCACTTATGGCTCGAATTGTGTTAGAAAGATTTCTACAAGAGCAAGATGGATCAGTACGTAAGTAATTTAAAAAATATTTAAGCTTATTGATACACAACTAAAATGTACTACTAAATTACTAAAAATATAAAGTGAATAAAAGGCAGCTTTTAAAATCTCATAAAATTTCCAGTTGTTGTAGGGAAAAAGTATTATGGTTATATTGCATATTCCACATTGACTTCTTGGAGGAAAGGCAGGATATAAATAAAATTAATTAAATAATTAAGTAAGAACTGTAACACAAGTTGTTTTCATCCTCAGAGGTTTTTTGCGCTTGAATATATATCTTATCTTTTGTCACAGAATTTATATTAGTTTCTGTCTTCACAATTCTTTTGTACAGAAAAAAATACTTTTTAGTATTACATGTGGAACTGATTCGTTTAAGATAATAACAGTTATGGTAACAGATTATAACACACTATAGATAATTGTTTATGTCCCTTTAAAAATAGCACTCTAATTGCCTACTGTCATATTTTAAGGCAAAATGTTACTGATAGACTTCTTCTGTTGGGGGGCAATTCTTTCATCAAGAATTCAAGAAATAAGCATGTTCTTGAAGTTCATTAGACATTAATAAGAATTCAAAGTTTTTCAACTGTAATTGGTTCATGGCATAAATAATTTTGCCAAATAATTCTTGAAAAGAAACTTATTTACTTTAACATTCTGGAACCTCAAAACTTTAAGGAGAATTTAACTGAGCTCAGTATTAGACAGAAAAAAAATGAAAAAAATACAGCTTCAGGAGGAGGTTCAAGGCTAAATTAATTTGCCACTGAAAAAATACATTTTGTTATTTTCTCTGTGTCAACTGCATGATTAAAACCGGCTGTTAAGTGAGCTCTGGGGATGTGCTCGTAAAAGATTTATGAGTAATATTCAATGTGATATTCAAAGTGAGTCATGAATATCAGGGTAATTGCTCTCAGTGTTGGCTCCTTTACTAGGCAGGAGTTTGTCAACTGCCCCATAAATATTTGCCTAGTCTCATGTAAGAAAAGACAATTTCATCTTTTGCATTTTTATTATCTATTGTAATGTTTACCTTTGGAATTTGACGATGAGAATGGTGAAAAGATTTAGAACATACTTGACACATGTATTTTTTTTTTTTTATTCTTTGGTAAAAAAAAATAAGCAGTCTGAAAAAAAATCTATCATCCAATAAATTAGAGAAGGGATTTATTATTATTATTATTATTATTATTATTATTATTATTATTATTCCTTTCCCCTTTTATTTTTTTAAAGCTAGGATTTTTCTATAGACCTTTTTTATTTTGGGGGGGAAGCTGTGTGGTTGGTGACTGCTAGGGTTACTTCATGACGGTTTCATTTGAATGAATTAAAGTACTTCCTCTAAAAATTCAATATCATCTCAATAGATGTAGCCTTTAAAGTAACCTGCAGTGATGCTTCATGAGCAAATCACATGATGTCAGAATGGTATGGTTTCGATTTAATCAAGAAAGAGATTAAAGTGGATGTGTGTTATTTTCAACTTCGCTGCAGCACCTCCATTTGTCAAAGTCAACCTTCTGATTGCTTTGGACCTACTGCTATCCAGATCTTGTCAAAATAGTAGTCTGCACAATCCGAGGCAGGTAGACTACTCTCTGCAGCACAGTATCAGACCCTATAAAGTGGAATTCATTGGCTTGTGAATTATAAAGCTAATAGATTGATCATAAATTCTGCAACTGTTTAATTTATTTTTATAATGCTGGCACAGCTTCCGCTCTTTGTATTTAATTTCCATCATTCTGTAATATTATATAATCAAACAACTGAATAGAAGTTTTTAAATGGATTGTGGCTGAGAATCTTAAGCTCCAGCATTAGCAGTGTAAGCCTTCAGTGTGTGTGCTAACCATATTTAGAATACATATTCTGAATTTAGAAAAAAAAAACTTATTTTAAGCGCCTATTTTCTAGAGAGAGAAAGAACAATGGTTTCAACTGTGTATATTCAAACATGTTATTCCCTTGAAATATTTCTATACTGCACCAGTGTTTTGATTATTGGAAGTGTTATTATTTCCTTCTGGATTTCTAATAAATTGATGCTATGCATTCGCTTATACAATTTCCAAGTTCAAGGGAGTGTGTGACCACAGTTTAAATTAACATTAATTGCCAGTAGTCTGAATGTGAGCATAAAAATCTTAACTATGGTTAAAGCAACTGTAATATATTAATGTTTTCCAAGAGAACGCTTCTTTTGAGGGTGGGAAGAAGCTTTTATTCGTGCCAGATCAGGGGCTCCATGGAGTTGGCACAAAGTGATTTTAGAAAAGAGCTGAAAGGTAGGGTAGCTTTTATTCTGACATTCTCTTCCCCTTTCACAGCAATGACCTGGCTGGCCTTTGGCAATGAAATTCAATGCACATGGCTCCGCAGTCAAATCATCAAATTTCCCTGTGTGTATATTAGAGTTTTGTAATGTGTTTCCATTATGAAGCAATGCAGGGATAATTGTCTTTGGTAGCAATTAGCTAACAGGTTTGTTCAGTACTATTGGCAAAGGCATCCATCATCCCCTCCCTGACCACACTTTTTGTCTAGCTCGGACTATAGAGATCAATAGAATTCTATATAGGGGAAATCACCCCAGCTTTAATGAGCTGCTGGCCTCAGTCAGTCTTGGTTTGTATTTCTAATTTTTACCTTTAACAGTAGATGAGGGGGAATCTTCCCATAGGGGCAGGTGTGTATTGTATATGTACTATTACTTTCAGTAGATCAATGTATAGCTTTAAATTGTTCTATACTGAAAGGTATAGGAATTGACACTGAGAGACTGACAGAAACAGTTTATTGCTCTGGTAATACTGTTTAACAATATGCAGTTTTGGAAATGATTATTGGACTTAGATTTCACTTTTAAGCTGAATGATTTATATATATCAAGGATTGCAGACTCCATTTATCCAAAGTCATTCCCTTTGAGTTACACAGCTGGAAGGAGAGAAAAAGAACCAGGTTTTATTTGAATCTTTTGTGATTTATTACCATTGCAATCCTGTCCACGCTCACCTAAGAGAAAAATATTTGGACATGATGACATATACTTCAGCATAATTCAAATCAAATTTGTTATTATGTATAAATAAAATAAAATAAAATAAAACCAAAACAGATGAAAATTAATAAACTAAAATTAAGGGTATTTGTCACATTTGCACTAGTTATTGCAGCTTTTTCACCCAGCTGCATAAAATTTGGCATTTGAGTTCATGTAACATGGTCGGAGTCTAAAAAACCCCCACATGACTGGAATATATCTCTGTCCTTAGGAGATGTTGCAGCAAAAGAGTATATAATCCTTGTACAGTTCCCTGTAAAAATAAACACTGTTGAACAGTTTCTATTTCTGCAGAGACACATGGATAATTGCATTCTATTAGTGAGGTTTTGGTGAATGGCTTGCAATAAAGTCAATTTTCCCTAGCTCTAAAAACCCTTTCTTGGGAAGGTTAATATCTAATAGCTTGCAGATTCACCTGTGCATTTCACTATCAGAACCCTGATTTGGAAAAGGGTGCTGATTTCATTTTAGTTTCCATTATCATTCACCTTTTGAAGAACTTTTTTTTTTTTTGCCTATGATCGTGGCATGTTGTGGAGTAGCAAAGAGTTAGACATATCTTCATGATTGAACAACAACAACAGAAACCCTAGATGATCAAAGAAAATCCATGGCAAGCTCAGAGTACCCTAGTCTCTCATTCAGTGCTAATATCCATGGTGAGGAATGGTCATGCTTCAAAATTACTGGAAACAGGCCCTTAGGAAGAATATTATCTTTAACCAATATGTTATGATTCACCACTATGCTTTTTCTTCTACTTGGGGCATTCTATCTTGGACCTAGGTACTAGACTTTTGATACACCATGGATCTGACAGTATGGATCTTAGCAAATATTCTCTTGAGATAGAATTTCTTCATATAAAGTCCCATTTACATTACAGGAATTGGTTATGTCTAGTCTAGTGAAAAGAAGGACTAGGGGTGACATGATAGCAGTGTTCCAATATTTGAGGGGCTGCCCTAAAGTACCAGAAGAAGCAATGGATGGAAACTAATCAAGGAGAGAACCAACCTGACAGTGAGAACAATTAATCAGTGAGACGACTTGCCTCCAGAATATGTGGATGCTCCAACACTGGAAGTTTTTAAGAAGAGATTGGACAGCCATTTATTCAGAATGGTATAGGCTCTCCTGCTTGTGTGGGGGGGTTGGACTAGAAGACCTCCAAGGTCCCTTCCAACTCTGTTATTCTGTTATGTTACATATAAAACTTGAGCAAGAGTTTTTGCCTTGAACTGTTTTAGGGCTTCTGGTTTTAATTTCCTCCCTTTGGTATAAACTTTGTCATATGATTGTATTATAACTGAAATATTTACATTCTAAAAATGTATTATGACAGGAAAGTACAGGCACTAACTTCCTAGGATCAAGAGCTCTAAATCTGGTGTATCTTGTTATTTAAATGCTATAAAAAATTATCTAGGGATCCAGAAATCTAAGTTCAACATAAAAAGTTATGCTTACTGTATTTTGTTAATAAATGAAATGACAGCTTTCGAACAATGATTCAAAATAACTTCAAACTTTATTACAATATAAATATACAACCCAAGATTTATTGGGCTAAGAGCCAAAATATGTAAATTCATAATAACAATAATCATCAAAAGTTGAAAACCAGGAATTTTGTAAAAATGAAAAGAACAGATTCCCTTGATGGAGAAATGTTTACTACTAATAGATTTGTAGTGTAGAAGTTCAGCATAAATTACAGAAGTGGAATTCAGTTTAAAAATACAACATAAGAAAGCCTCAGATCAGACCTTACTTTGGGACTGTTTTAATGATAAACAGATATGATAGAAATGATATAAAGGAATAAAGCACAAAATGATAAAAACAAGACAAAATACAGAAGAAAATAGCAACATGAGATGTTAATTAAAAGCATAGCTCACTGAAATTGTTGAGGGCA